CACAGAGACACACACAGAGACACACACACAGACACACACACACACACAGAGACACATATAATTCCTCAGTCGCAAGCGCAGCCTACGACACTTGACGCAACGAGCAGCCTATGGTTCAGAGATGGGGAGTGGGACAGGAATGGACAGAAAGCGTGGCTTGGAATGGGAAAAGGTTGCGAGGATCCTCCAACGCATCCCGCCGATTCTGAGGTTTGTTGAGATGGAGGCTGCGGGATGCTGATGGTCTCAGGTTGGGGCCTGGGCTCGGATCGCACATGAAATAGCCAAACAATTAATCGCTCCTGTCTGCTCCACCTGCTCCGCTGTCTCCCTTCAGTTATGCACTAGCTACTAGCACCCTTTGCTTTTCCTCTCGACACTGCCGAGGGGGGGTTTATGACCTAGCCTTCTACTTTGTGGCCACTCTGCCTTGGGGGCTTGATGCCTAGTGATCCCTTGTGTTCACTTCGTACCTCCAGCTGTCCAAATCATCCATGCACGAGCTTGTGAGTCATGAGCAGTGACCGATGGAGTTCGGGTTCTGAAGGACAAGTTTTTGCCGATACGTAGGACTCGACAACGCAGACGTCAGATTGCACCTAAGCCCCAAGCCTTACAGACAGCACAGTGAGTTCAGCAATGAGCCTTTTAGACTCGGGCGTGGCTCAGCTCTGCTTCAGGAAAGCACCAAGTTTCGAAATCTCGGAATCATCAAGCTCCGTCCCGAGGTCAGCACAAGCTGTAGGTATCTCGGGAGTGGTATCCACTTGAAATGGTACACTTGGTGCGGGAGGTCTTTCGAGCTGCAAGAAGTCGGTAGCCACGATGTAGCGCACGCACTGTAGAATCGCCGAGTAGTATCGTTCCACATCTGGCTGCAGCAATCTCCGAAGCAGTCCGTCTCGTCGCTCGCGCTCTTCTGGGGCACGGTATGGCTCGACGTGGGTGGCTCGCACCTGACGCGTGCGAAGCGGCCCGAAGACGCCTCCCGCGGGACCCTCACCAGGTCGACCAGCTCTGTTTGCCAGCGTCGACGGCAACATCCACCAAGCACTGGGCGTGATGTCAGAGGCCTGAGCCTGCGGCGGGCTGCCGACATGCTCATACTGGCAGGCTGCGCCGTGATAGCAAAAGCCTCGCTCAAAGAAGCGGCAAACTCCCAGCTTCCCTCTGCCACTGTCGAAAGCTTGGTAGCGTGCTTGGCTACTCGAGTTGCCAAAGGAGGACTCCAATGGGACGCAGTTTGCTACAACGGATGGCAGAGGAAGTGAATGTGTTGGATGAGCATTGTCTTCGAGCTCGTTGTTCATGCCCATGCTCCAAGGCATTCGTTTGCCCTTTCCTTTCTCCTTTCCCTTGCTCTTACCTTTCTTCCCCTTTGACTTTCCATCCCCTTTAAAATTATAACCATAACCATAACTATAATCCTTCCCTTTGCCATCTTTGCCATCTTTGCCTTTGCCTTTGAACTTGCCTTTTTTCCCTTTGCCCTTGCCCTTGCCCTTCTCCATGCCGTGCGTGCTTCGGAGGAGCTTCTCCAGCATACTCACCTTCGGAGGATCTGGAAGTGCACCAGACAAGCGCCGTTTCTCCTCCAGCTCCAGCTTTCTCTGCAAGTTGCCCTTGCTGGGGAAGTTCGCCTTTCGCATGGCTCTCCAAGCTGTCAGCTCTTCCGGCGAGTCAGTCACACTCGAGCCGTCTGCAGCCTTGACATGCTTGAGCTTGTGCACCGCCATGACATGCTCTGGACCAGAAAAATTGCAACCTTCCTCGGGACAGGGGATATGCTCATCTGCGACATGGCGGTCATACTTCTCCTGATTCCAGAAGTCTTTGTTGCAAACATGACAAAACCACCGGCTCGGATTGAAGGCTTTCTTGCGAGGCATGCATTTTGAGAATCCCTTGCCGCTGTATCCTTGCGGGACTTGTGGCGGTGGAGGCAGAGCGTACTGAACACCAGGGGGCTGGGGTACATCCATCCATTGGTCGCCACCTTCATCCTCGGACTCTTGCGAGCTGCGTGAGCACGTCTCGTACCGATCATAGTGCCGACGGTCTGGAACGTCCCAATAATCGTAACGTGCATCGTAACCATCCCCGTATTCCGAATGCCAGCTGTCCCACGCATCCGGTTTGGGTGCACGTCGGGGTGATGGTGCCCTCTGCATCTTAGATTCCGGCACTGGGGGGGGCTCCGGCAGGTGTCTGGTGCCGCCTGAGGAGTCTTCATACCAGCGTCTTCCGCCAGGGACAGGTGGTGGGGCGGGAGGATCGTAGAGGACGCGACTTTCGCGCTCCCTACTGTCGCTGCGGGAGTTGCGAGGCAGCGGTTGGTCCGCCCATGCTCGGGATGTGCTTTTCGCAGGCTCCTTTCTAAAGCTGACAGGGGCTGGCGGGGCTGGTGGGGCGGGAGGGGGTGGAGGTGGCGCCGGTGCCTGTGCCGGTCGAGATGGGCCTCTGGGAGTTGGGACCGGTGGAGCTGGTGGAGGATCCGGTAATCTCTTGGAGGACGGGAGGTTCTGCTTTTGGATTCGGCTTGTGGGTTTTGCGCTTCGAGGCTGCAGCTCCGGTGCTTTCTGGTGGCTGCGACTTCTGGATACCACTTCGTCGTGCCGAGGTCTCTCGGTACTGTCGAATCCAGCCTCGGCCAAAAACTCCCTGACTTTGTCTAAGGTCGGTGAAGCTCCCGGTGCCCGGGAATGCAGCCTAGGCCTCTGAGCTGGAGCGGGAGCAGCGGGAGCTGGAGGTGGAGGTGGCAGGTCACCGCGATACACCGGCCGCCGCCTTTGTGGTGAGCGGCTCCGCATCGGCGTCAAGCGATCCAGGCAGACTGCTCCACTTCAAGAGCCCATGGCTCTACCACTCTGGCTTGATACATGGACATTTTCCCTGCGACCGTCGCCCAGGGCTAAACTAACCAAAGGACTGTTATCTTTCTGCTGGGGCATCTTTGTGCTGAGGCTGCACGCTCAGCTTGAGTAAGTTCATTTTGCTACTGTCTTGAACCAACTGGCGAGCGGAGGGGGGCACGGGGCGTGCCTTTATGCGGGCAGCCATCGAGGACACCGCCCAGGTGTCAAGCAAGACAGCTGCTGGAGTACAGGAGCCGGGGTTGCATCAAGGTGGGAGGACTCAACAAATCCTGCTAGAAGAGCTGCAAAGACGGAGCGGCAGTGGAGTTGTGATTCCCTCTACCGGTTGTCTGTGGTGCCTCACGAGGCAGGAGCTGAAAAGCGGTTGCTCTCATACTGTCGTTCAGAATGCTCGAGTGCACAGAGAGGCTCCAAGCTGAAGTGCCGATGTTCGCAAGAGCATTTCGCATAGTTTCGTCGACTGGCCAAGACGAGCCACCAGTGCTCAGTATCCTTCTGTTGCAGCACGAGCTTGTGTCTCCTTCTCGTAATGTCACTTGCCGATTTCCTCCCTTGCTCATGTCTCTCCTTCAACTAGAGGTGCAGAAGGAGTGTTCTCCCTTCTACGAATGAGGGAGCGCCTGGGCTGGAACGAGAAGCTGGCTCCGAAACAACTGATTACAGACGTCCAAGTCTCCCTTCATGGATGCCTTCATCACAGACCGGACCTTGACCCTTGCAACTGACGATGCACGAGTTTCTCCCGTAGCCACAATGGACGTGGCTCCACCGTGCTCCACCAATGAACTGCTCCAACTAATGAAGCACCACGGCTCATGCGTCGCTTTACCACGACTCTTGATTGAAAGAGGCGGGGCAATGCATTCTGCAAAGACCCGCCTCAGAGGCGTCCCACTTCGGGCCGTGAACCGCTTGGCCGAATCGACTTTGGACCGGCGTGCACATCGGCCAGAACGCCTTCGGCTATCGCCTGTTGCCCATATTTCAGCAACATTGCTCCGTGAAAACTGCGCTGCGCACGGATGCTGATTGACTGCGGCAGGTGGCCGCAACTGCGAAAAATCCTGTGGAACGCTCACTCAGGCCCACAGGTTCAAAATGTTCGAGGTTCAATTCAATGCTAGACAAGCTAATTAAGCATTTCAGTCGCGAGTGCCCATGACCTAGGAGCAGTTCTGGCCAAGATCGCATGCCAAGTATGTCCAGCATGTTCTGAAATGCCTTGTTGGTTTCCTGCCAGCTTGCACAACGGCAAGGGCAGTTCTTGCACACATGCACGAAAAGCCAGCTGCACTTGTAGCAGTGTGGTGAAACACCGGTGGATTCGATCCAAGTGCTGCATCATCCTCGAGCAGTGTTAGCAGCTCGACAGGCCACCAAACACCACGAAGTTTACAAGCATCTTCAACACCATTTTTTCCCACCCATCTTCAACACCATTAAGGTCTTCGTTCTCGAAGCTGCGGCTGCTGAAACACTTCGAGGATGTTGCCATGCTCGCGTTTTACTGCAGGAGCTGTGAACCGCTTCTCTCAGAGTCTCTGACCATGAGAGCCTGCAGTAACCTGGCACTTCCGGAGTTCACACATGTCGTCCTCTGTTGCCTTCGCCTTAAACAGCACCTACAGCCAAAGCGTGTGAGTGCGAAGGACGAACCGACTTCGTAAGTCGGAAGCACGCACAAGTAGACGGGCTTAAAAGTATGAAGAGAGCCTGTTATGATGTCTGTGTAGTTCTTTCTCAGAGTACAGCGGCCAACGCATCGCTGTATTTTCACCCCCCATGGAATCGTTTGCGACGCTGGAAAACTTGAACAGCCAGCGCCTGTCCGCGTGCGCGAATTCTTTTGTCAAGACTGTTCTTGACTTCGCGCGGCAGTCCACTAACGCAAGCAGTGCGGAATCCGTTTCGGCACTGAGACTTGTCCGAGTTGCTGCCCATCAAACGCTTGTCTCAACGCTGAGGCAGCAGCTCGAAGTATGAAAAGCTTCCATCTTCTTCACCAAGCGATTCCTGGACTCCGAATTTCGGGAACACCCAGCTTGCGTGAAGCCTACAGCACCTGGGAACCAACTCTGCGACTGTGCGGACAGATATGTAGAGATGTAACTTCCCTGTCATCGCTTTGGCTGGGGGATGCACCCGGCAGAAGGCAGCCAAGTGGCCGCCAGTCCGTCGATTTGAACATCGCTGAAGGTTCTACGCTGCTTCGCCAAGGAGATGTCAATGCCTCGAAGGACCTGCAGATCTGCAGATTTGTTGCGGAAGTCTCCGCGTCTGACTGCTTCTTTCACCCGGCGAGTCTCTCGCTCCTCGCTCTGGTTCTTTGATTTCTGTTGGAGTGCTTGAGCGCCCGCAGGCTCCGAATCCCGACAGCGCCTTTTACTTCGGCTTGAACTGCGCGCGGTATGCCCGTGGAAGGGGCAAGTCACGAACATCACACCTTTGCGGATCTACATCTGTCGAACCTGACTGGATGCTGCAGCTCTTCCGACCCACAAGCAACTCTTCGTTGTGATATGCCATGGCCATGCACGTCCCCGAAATAAGAGCAAAGTCCCAGACACCAAGTGCATGACTACAGCCCTCATCAAAGGGACTATATATGTTGCAAAAGGCTGTGCTCAATGACCTGGGGCAGGCGGGGAACATGCAGTGTTCAAAGGACTCATGGTGCTGGCCAGCAAGGGCCGCACGGCAGCTGATGCTCATGATGCTTGCTGTTTGTCAGATCGATGCTTGCTGGTACTTGTGCACGAACAGCCTGCTTCAATGCTTCGTATTGGAGGCTTTTGCTGCAATATTGCGACCAGCCTCGCATGCACTGACGAATACAATACCGCTCAGTAGTATCAGTAGTAAAGCCATCGTCTTTCTCCCGGACGAAACGAAAGATTGAATACCACCCAGACACTTCCTGGTTCTCCTCGAGTCAGCAGCCTCGACTCTTAGTGCCGCCCCGGGGGTCCACACTCTTTCCAGCACCAGCCGACCCAGCAAAGACAAGCACTAGCGATCTGATTAGAGTTAACACTGTTCTGCGTCACCAATCCGAAAGGGCCGTGGGGGGAAGGCCTTCGGGCCAGGGGGTTTCGTACCCCAACGCCCCTACCAAGCAAGCAAGTAAGCAAGCAAGCAAGAGGGCTTGTCTCCCCCCGAGACCGGTGGCGGGCCTAGGGGGACCTTCTCTGCAAGCTACAAGATTGCTCGCGTCGTTGAACTACACACGCCGGCATGCTGATGTGCCCTCTGTTGTGTCGCGAATGCCGGTAGGCATGTGACGCGTAACGTGGTATGTGAACCTCCGGTCGTCACAGCAGAGTCACTGCAGAGCGGGGCAGGGCACAGCGCGGATTTTGGAAAGAGGTGTTGCTGGAATCTTCGCCATGGCTTCAGGAATAGGTTGCCTGGCTTGCGGTTCGTCTTGCCTGGCGAGCTCCCGGCTGGCAGTCCCCAAACGGTGCAGCGCACCGTGATCTAGGAAGCGCTGTGCATGTCTTTATGTTTGCTGTCTTGGCTGACTGTAGAGACCAGCGTACGTGCGCACACGAGGGGGTGTGGATCCCTGCCGTGAAGGGCTTGTCTTTCTACCCACAGAAGCCAAGAAAGACTCTCCGTGTTTCTGCCAGGCCTAAGAGAAGTACTGAGAAACACCCACCCAGTGCGAACACGGACGCGGAGGGTCTCCAGTTGACTTCGCGATGTTGCCGCAAAAATGCACTCGGAAAACGGCGGTAAGGAAACATGAACATAGATCTGAACGCACACAATCCCCTCCCCTTCACAGAAAATACCCACTGCAGCACTGAGGCTGCAGCTTTGGGGAAGGCTCCCAGCACAAGACTTTCCATGGCTAAAGACAGATAGATGACTACAGGCTCTCACGCTCATGTGGGACCCCGGCCCGCCCACCCCGCGCCCCCTGTCCACCCTGTGGGTTTTTCCTATTGGTTAATGTATCCGATTTTTCCCTTATTTTCCTATGTTTTCCGTATTCCTGCAAACCTGTAATTCCCGCATTTTCTTTTTCCTCCAAAGTTGGGGTTTTGGAGGTTCTCTAGATTAGCACTGTTGAGTCCGACTATAACCGTAACCGTAACCAGATGAAGTGCACCTTCTTAAGCATCTTAGGCTTCACTCGGGCCATCCACAACTTGCGGAAGGGTCTGACAGCCTGGGCCCCGGTTCATGATGTATGAATTCCCGAAAGGAACATCAACAGCGATTGCGGTAAACAGCAGAACCCGTGACCCGTGTCACACATGGGCACATGGGTCATCCAAGGCCAGAGCAAACCAGGGGAATCAAAAAGAACAACTTGCGTCCCCTGTGCAAAGGGAAATGTGCTCAAAGGAGCGCCGCGGCAGCAGCTGTTAAAAATCAGGCGGGGTGAGCGTCGTATTTCTACGAGATCTACGACGCATCAGCAGGTACCAGCGAAGGCCGTTGGATCGTGCAGTGTGAAAGCCATGGGTTGTCACATCTTTGTTTCGGCACTCGAGCTCGACAAGGTCAGGCGAGCTTGATGGCGGGACAACTAGACACGGTAGGCTCTTTCCGAGCCCATCGCAGTTCAACTTAGCTTCAGCATGATAGCCAAGAGCATCAAGGAAAACTACAGTACAGTATCTCCTGACATTGGACGTACATCTCAGCCTTCTCAGACAGGCATGCTTGCATGTCGGCTTCACTCGTAGCCGCAGTGGGCACGTCCAACGAGGCACAATACCTCGGCCGTCGCAAATGCTTCCGCTTGCCCAACGAACGTTTTCTTCCCTCACTCCATTGTCTTGCAGAAGCAAGCAGTTTCCACGACGCCAAAGCTCACTCATAGTGCGCTCACAGTTTACACTACAGTTTACTAAGCCAGCAAAGCCAATTGAGCACAGTTGGCCCGCGTCCATTGGGCAATCGTCGAAGAGACAATGAGGAACAGTTGTTATAGTCCACCGCAATCTGTAGGTAGAGCGTGAACTAGTTCTTGCAGAGTCTCCCCTCCCTGAACGGTCGGACTTTGACTTGAACTTAAAGTCCTCAAACGAGCGATGGCTCGAGGTACACTGAGAAGGAAGGGGAGGACCCGGCAAAAGGCACAACAGATGCCTTTCACCCCCACCCGCCTGTTCTCACTTTGAGGCTGCGATCGGCGAAGTCGATGTAGGCTACCTGAGATCCTCCCCCCCGCAATGCCCGCAGTTGAGCCTTGTCTCGAGCTTCAATATCCAAGCGCATCCTCATCATGTTCAGCTCGTCTGCTTTTAAAACTGCCTCGTCTGAGCTGGACACACAGCTGGCGGCAGGGCCTGCAATCACATGTTCCGAGCGCATTTCCGGCTCGTTCAACCGGTCCTGCTGCTGCTGGATTGCTGCGTTTCGCTCCTGGATTTGCAGAAGCTGCTCTGGGCCAGGGCAGTTTTCCTGGTTCAACAATTGCTCTCATAGTTGAAGCTTATACTGTACCTCAAACTCCTGCACTCTTGTGGCCCAGGGAACGCAGGAGACAATGCCAGAAGTCCTGGTGGCCAAGTGCCAGGCCAATAGCCAGAAACCATGGTGCTGCAAAGTACTGGGGATGTCACCACTGTCACCACGAGCATCCCACTGTATGCTCAAGTTCTTGTCGAGCACTTGAGCCAAAATGGCTACTATGTCTCCCTTACTCTCTCCCTCCCTTCTTGCGGTGTAGATAGGCATCTGGGAAAACACCCACGACACAGAACACCATTTTGCCTTGTGGTTGTTCGACAATCCCCACACCTGATTTTCTTGTGTCGGCAAATGCTGTCTTAGAGATCGAGACGGGGAGCGGCTGAGAGAGAGAGAGAGAGAGAGAGAAAAAAGTGTGAGTCAGAACCAGTGTGAGACAGTTGGCTTTTCCTCAAGCTGGCCCTCAAGCAAAATGGACTCTGCGTGCGCACCACCACCATCACCGCCACCACCACCGAAGATGCAGCTGCAGATTGCAATGTGGCAGGCCCTGCCTCTGCAAATGCGCCAGAGCTTATTCGGCCCGTGAGCGCCACATCCGCCTGAAAACAGCGCACAACTGTTGTTCAAACACTTTACACGCCGCCATTGCACAATCACCTATCAAGCCCCTTGATTACGAGCGGCAAGATCCCATATCATATGGTAATTGCCAGTTTGCATGGAACGGGAAGGTGGCTTCTTGGCGGAATGCCAGCATGTCGCCCAGGGGACGCTGTCTCTACAGTAAGGTGAGGAATAGGATTGAGGCTTTCAAGTGGAGGAATGTCATCTGCAAGTACAACTTGCTCGTAAGTTTTATTGCAGCACTTGTGATGGAAGTGAGCAAAGTTGTGGAAAGTGTGACAGCCAAGGGCAGGCCATCTCTTTGTCATCCTTGGCATGCCTATGCCAAAGGTCAAAGACAGGGCACATAAGATCAACCTGCTGCACTGCCTGCACTTGCTTCTTGGTCGGGCTGGTGCTGTCCGCCGTAAGGAAAACTCAAGAACCGCATCAGCCATTTCCCCCCAATCCGGCTCCAAGCGAGGCACAGCAGCAGCTAAGCCAGAACTCTATTTTTTCACTGGCACGCACGGAATTTGCACTTTGATGCGTTTCCATGTCAAGGGTGTCGACAACCCTGGCCTCGTGGCATCCACAACACACTGCGTGTCTGTGCCGGTACCTTTCGCAAAGACAGTCTTCGTCAGCGTAGCTTCCGAGGGAGGCAATTGCTGGATAAGCATAGCATGCAAAATGCGTGCAATGTGGAAAGGGGCACAAAAAACTCAGGATGTGCTCGCACATGAATTCCTCAGCCGCGTCGAAGTCCTGCTTGAAGACAGATGTTCGAAGAAGGCCAATTTCAGACAACCAGCCGTGCATGTAAAATTCTCGTAGCTATGACATGGCAGACTCAAACACAGCTCTCATCCCACACTGCCGGTGGCTGGTTCTTGGATGCAGTGTTCTAGGAATGCCACAGTGAGGGCAGTCAGGACGGCAAGCTCCCGTTGCTTTTCATGCCGTATCGTGGGCCGCGACTTCATGTTCAAAGCGGCGGCAGGCATGAGAAGGACGAAGGAGTGCAAGTCAGGACACAAGCAGGCAGCGGCAAAGAGGCTGCCTGGCCAGATGGCCTCTCCACGATGAAAGCCTAAGTCGAGGATTCGTAAGGACTGTCGTAGACGGTGGGGTCGTAAAATGCAACAGCTTCGCGACAGATCCGAGCCGCCAGCCTCAAGGAAGCTGAACAAGTTCACCTCCATCAATGTCTGCTTCACCATCGAGGCTAGCGGCTAGGGGAAGCCGAATCTGCCCTTCAGGTAGCGTCTATGAGTCTATGCCTTTTGCTCTTGTTCCCTTGCACCTGTTCCTGCTGGCTTGCAAGCGGCTTGCATCTTCTTATTCTGCTTTCCGTCACCTTTAGCGTACACTTTTGCAGTTGTTCATAACCTACACCTCTCATCGTTTGCGGGCATCGCAAGGCTTTGCGAGCAACGCTAAATTCTTCGCTGTGCCGAGGGATTCGTGGCAGGTTTCAGGGCAGCAGCGGAGCCCGGAGAGCTTCCGATTTCGGGAGACTTCCGAGTGGTTTCGGCTTCTGGCTTTGGTGGCATATGCTGAGCTTTCCGATGTGAACACCGGTGGCCGGTGTGTTCGGGTGTGTTCAGAATCATCCGGACTGGATTTTGGATTCTGAAGATACAGACTGCAGCCGCATGATCCGGCGTCTTGCCCTGGATTTTTGAACTCAAACTAGGAGGTCTCATTGATCTGGTATTGCCTGGTCGCGCACCAGGACAGAAAATCTGGCTATGCGGGGTGGAGGGGTTGGGGGGGGGGGGGNNGGGGGGGGGGGGGGGGGGGTAGGAAGACACACCACAATTCATAACTCAGCCGGAATATCGCTTTCTGGGTCTCGGGTCTGCCGGCTAGAGAGCAAACTCAAAGGAAGCATCCAGGGCCACAGCCTTGCCAGTCTCACGGCCACTCAGCTGGTCAAGTTGCAGTGCCATCTCCTCCAAGTCTGTCTCACCTGGCCACTGATTTTGGTGTTACCTCTAGCCACTTTCGCGTGCACAATTCCGTTCGTCCTGGGCAGTTTTACGAACCCGACAAGCCGGCATCGCTAATGGTGTGGCCCTTGTGCATGACGTCATCGATTCCCTCCAGTCCTCAATGCTCAGTCGCAAGAAACATTTACGTAGCACTGCATCTGTTGTGGTGCAACCTCGTCGCCTTTAAGGTAATCCACCAACTCGCCCCTGGTCAAATGTCCATCCCCGGACTCGTCGCTTTTCTCGAACTGGTGGGCCCTCAGCTGACATGTGGGATGATGCATGTTCGGTCACATTGGCGTCATGCAGGCAGTACTCCTGTACTCCGGTGAACACCCTCCGCGTACCTATTACGAAAGCCGTAGTGTCCAGCACTTCCGTGAAAAACTCAACATCACTACTGTCGAGATCGCAGGGCAGGGAACTGCCATTCGGGGGGGGGGGGCTCATAATCGTTCGTTAAGGCTGGCCACTCAAAGCCTCGGAAGCAAAAGCTCCCTAATTTGCAAGCTGCGCCGACACAGCTTCCATACGATCCAAACACTACTGAACACCATGATCTATCGATACCGCGAAGAGTATGGATAGTTTTTTGGATTTTTTGGACTGCCTACAATCATCAGTACTCACTTTTCGTGTAGTATTGCTAGTAAAGCAGTAAAGCAGCTAGTAACCTTAGCAACCCTGATTCGGCGACTACTGACGAGGGCTGGCGTTCTGGGATTCCTGGCCAATTTCAGGAAGACATGTCCTGCACACAAGCCGCCCCGAAAAGAAAGGCTTGGCTTTTTCATCAAGGAAGCTTGGGCCCAGGAATCCAAGACATGCCAAGGAAGCCCTGCTAATTATCCGCTAATTGCAGGCCAGTAGCAGACGCTGTGCCTGAAAAACGGTCTTGCGCGAGTGCACACTGGCACCAGTTTTTACCTCAGCTCGGAGTGACGTCCTTGCATTGGTGATGCACGGGCCGACTTTTCTTTCGTACTTGGCAACTCCAACTGACCCCTGCAACTCGTCCAATGCATCTTCCGTGAATGTGCCAGTGCTGTGGCGGCCCACCAACCCGCAACAGACAATAACGTGCCAAAAATCTAACAACACGATGTAAGAGGATAACACATACAATCCCACCTCATGCAGCACGTGTGCAACGAAGCCACGATCAAGCTTGCGCTAACGAAATCCGCGCCAATGTATGCAATCGATTACAATCGCAGCACATGCCTTCTTCTGGAATCTACGCTGTGCAATGCCCAGAGTAGGTAGATGGAACGACCGTCAACATGCCCTTAATGAATACTGGCGCAGCAATCGTTGACAGCAAGCCAAGCTGCTCTGGTGATGCCTGGTTGGTTGGACATCCTGTCTCTTTTGAGAAGCAAATGGCCGATGTGGTTCAGCGCATCCCTCCACTCGGCAAGGGCGTCATCGCCTCAAGATGCGGCTTCACGTCAACTTCGCTACACGCATCTCTTGACAGACCCTGGCACACCATCAAAAAAGGCCTGGCAATGCTGAGCCAAAGGCCTGTCATGGCCTTTGCCTGTCGGTAAATGACCTCAGCAGAGCATCAAACAATCTGTCGACGAAGCAAACAGATGCGAAAACTTGCGAAACTCTTCGTTCTGCCCAGAAGCACCTCAAACCCCACTCAAGTCTGCACACCTCCATGCAAAGCGATTCATGTCGAGCTGCTGTAAATCTTTCGAAGAACTCATGCACGCCCAGCTCCGGCGGGGCATCGTCATCTGAGCTCTGCTACCGATGAAGCGACATCAACTCAGGAAATCGTGCTTGGCATTCCGCACCCTAGGCGCTAGCATACCAGCGTGAGTAGGCCAGGCTTTAAATGTCTGTAAACAAAGCGGCAAAGCTTAAAAAAGCTCATGATTTTCAACACATGATACGCTTACGATCAAAACCATTCTTCGTTTCACTAACTCAGGCTTGGCACCTTCCTCCTCAGCTGGGAACAGCCCATGGGCCAAGGACTGCAGCTGAGACGTGCTGAGCACGTGAGATGTCCGCTGGCCAGGGCTATCCTCCTGGGAGAGCGTGAGTGGACACAAACTGAGGGACATTACCACGCTTCGTGACTTCGTGGCCGGGGCGTAGCCTGACCTATCTTGACGAATAGCGCGCTCTGGCTGCTCCGAAGGGTTACACTTCAACTGCAGCGACGTGCTCATGTGCAGCAATGACGAAACAACATCCGCACATAGCACATAGCCAAGGATCAACTTCTACGTCGCTCTGAAGTACCTTCCTCGGTTTATCAGGTTCACGGGCAAGGAATGCACGAATATGCAGGAGTGTAGAAGCAGGCCAGGAAATGCAGTTGGGTAAGCCACACCGACAGTGCTGCTATGGAATTTGAATTCGATGAAGCAAGATGTTGTTTGTGGTTCCCGCCTGCAGCATGTTACCATGGAGGGTGCAAGAAGGACTCTTACCCACAATTGAGACACAAGCCACAGAACTGAGCTTTAGCTGGGAGGCGCCGGCTCTAGCAGCATCGTGCCCCAATCACACAAGTTATTCAGATCTCGCCAAGTGGCAAAAAATTGTGCACACTGACTTTGCCAGTGTGTTCTGGATCGAACAAGGCCAGCGTAGCTTTCCTAAGCCGACATGGAACAAGTCTGCAATTGCGAAGCAATTACACTGCGGCTGAGTCGGGCTTACATAGCTTTGACTTTCTTTAGCACATCCAAGGCTGTGCCGGCCCTTAGAGCGTTGCGCCCTGAATCCCCATACGAACGTTAATTGGGCAAAGCAGCAGATCAGTATCTCGACCTCGGGATGGCCCAGTGAGGCCATGAACTCACTGCATCCAACAGAACCCAGATCCGTGCTCCGAAGCTCGGCAGCGGACAGTACAAAGCCTCGTACGCATCCTTCATGAGAATGGTTTTCCAACCCACCTGAGCCCGGCAAGTCGTCGAGTTTATCCGAAAGCTTCGGCTAAGCAAGCTGAGGGCGGCTGAGGTGCCCATTTCTCTTTGTTGACGCCTACATCGAAGCGGTGTAGAAATCTTCGATAATCGACGCGTCGTTTTCCTGCCGAGTCTATCGATGTCCAGGACGACCACATGGACGAAAGAGTGTCTCTGGAAGCAACGTCTGCAAACCTCCAAATACTTAGAAAAGTATGTGTGCAACATGCACAAGTGAACAGCACCTGGCTACAATTGCAGCATCAGCTGGCTGTGCTTGCGTGTGGCAGGTGGCCAAGTGCTGTGCTGGGCCAACACCCTACGGTGTCCTTTGGGAAGATCTGTCTGCTCCGCGTTCCCCTCCTCAGAGTCCTGCTAGCCGAATGGCTATTTCTGACAATAAACGGTGGCTAGTCTGGCTACAGCCATTTTCGCTCAACATTCATACACACAGTCTATGATATCCTATGAGCGGCCGTCAATGCCTCTTACTTGATGCCTGGAACAAGTCGCACACCTTCGATTCCTCTCTATGCAGTTCTGTGCAAATCATGAACTCGATACCCTGCTGGGTCCGCTTCTGTGATGCCCCACAGCTCGCCACCCATGGACCAGGGAAAATTCCTGAGATTGAGCTCGCGAATTCGCTGCACCAAGTCATATGTGACCGTCCCCCAACAGCTCCACGTTGGTTCCGTACCGTTAGCCTATTGCGGCCTGTGCCTCCTTCCAGTGCACTGCCAACCCGACCCGGCGTTTATGCTGGCAAATCGGCATTCGCACCTACATCCAGTATCCATGCGCTATGTGCAGTCAATCAGCTAGGGGTAGTCTTTCTCCACCAGAGGCGGGTATTCTTTGTGCTAACTGCCTACATGATCCTCACGGATTTGCAGGCCAGCATCTCGCCACAAACGGATGTCAGAATGTCACACCACGACGAAAACGTGACCTTGGTATGGCTGCGTAAGGCTGCATATCAACTCAAAGTCTGCGTGATGACCTCCTCCGCAGTAGTGTCTTGTCCAAGAGGCGCTGCCCGTGCGCTTGTCATCACACTTGCGGAAGTCCTCCTGTGCGGCATCAACAACAGAAGCACGACTGCTTGATCAGACGGGCATGGGCCATGGGGTAACTCCAACCCTGATGGAAAACATAGATCTTGTTCTGTGTGCGTGCAGTGTGCATCCCTGATTGACAAGGAGCCCTATAGGCTTCACCACTTCCTCCTACAGCACTGGTCACCGACCAAGTGGCACAAGGTTACGACGCGCAAAGGTGCCGGGCTCACCGGGACGAACATCCAACGTAAACACGCAGGCGGCTCCCAAAGTTCTGGTCGCAGCTCGACAACTTTCCCGGCCATTCGATGAAGAATTGCACGCTCCTGCTTCGAAGCAAATGCATCAGTGCTCGGAGCGCAGTCTACCAATGTCTACCCACGTCATTGACATCAAATCCCTACCGTGGATTCATGTTTGGTCAATACTGTTGTGCTGCCCTCGGTCACAGTAGTTTCGTCCACTTCCAGCCTGCCGCTGTCCAACCTTCTGAATGTCCTGGCAGAGGTTAACTCGCCCAGCAAGGCTTCCGCATATAGCGCAAGTGAGCTGGTGGTCATGACTTACAATACCATGCCATGCCGAAAAGTCTGGGACTCATGCACATCGCGCACGAACACCCAAACAGGGAGGTGAATGGAACTGCTGCAGGCATTTAATGGCTGCGTCTTGCCCCGGACATTTCGATATTCAGATATGTTAAAGAGCACCCCTCACTGCTGGTACACCGCGACGCACAGTGAAAGGCAAGTTGATTCGGAAACCACACCATCGGAACATAGGCACAGAGCTCAGAGAGTCCTCCGAGGCACGGGCGGCCCCTGCTTCCTCCAAGGCCTTGGCATTTGCTTGATCCTTCCAAGAACAACAGTCTTAGGAACTGCGAACCTCAGCTCTCAGAAAGTATCCCCCCCCAATTAACATAGGTCCGGTGCCGCTCTGCGCGCCCCGATGTCAGGAAGCTGCGAAATCTCTTTCAACCTGAGTGTTGCTCGATGGGCATCTGCTGACAAGTCGTCGACCCGCACTGTACGACCTCTTGAAAGCCCACCCGATCCTTCCAAGACTCAGGCTTGCCCTGTTCCAGTGCTGGAGCGTAATGCTCCTCACGCATGTGCAAACCAACAAACGCTCATGACACCTGCATCCCGTCGTAGCCTTCGTTCGTGTGTCTCTGGCTGGATCTGGCTGGCCGACTGCTTGTGATGCTGGTTTCGCTTCTGAACAGCTTGCCCTCGTGATTGCAGCGGACCCTTCGCCTAGGCATGCCGAAGATGCCGTCAGGTAATGCCAGGTAGTGCCTCGAATGTAAGCCTGACAAATGCAAGTGCGGCCCCTTTTCATTGTGTGCTCCAATTATAGGCAGTCCAGTGAGGTCCAGAGTCCGACTGGGCTACACGGGAAACTAGCAGAGTAACAGCTCTAAGCCAGGGGAAGGCCCACCATGGTCCCTCCGAAACTGAAGAGAGTCGCGAAAATGGCAGGGAAGGGGCAAGATGATTGTCAGTTCAAGGCTTGAAATGAAATAAAAACGAAACCGAACGCGTCGAATGCCCCCTCTGCTGCTGAGCGCCACAGACTACACCACGGCATGCTCCAAAGAAAACCCGACTGGACACTGCTATGTTCGCTCTTCGGCGACGCTTTGCGAAGTGCAGTGCCGCTGCAGTATGTTAACTGCTAAATAATTGCTATGCGGGCTCGTGCCTGTACCTTGCCAGGCCGCTCAGGGATGGTCGAAATTTCGGCACATCCGATGCCCAGTGCCTCCAGTTGAATGCCCGTTTCGTCGCCATCGACGTACATGGGCTCAAAGCTCAAAAACGATGGTGGAGCCCCGCACCTCCTCGGATTGACGGTACTCAATGACTCAAGTCGGGGGCCATCGAAGCTCTGAATGCAGCCGAGCATCGACTACCAGGTCCCACAGGTTGGGTACCGGCCCGCGGAGATCTGAACTCTGTCCACCTCCTGTTAGAGGGTTCAGATCTCCTGGTCGCAGAGGGTATTGGTGGCTTCCCTGAGAAGCCGCAGGCGCGCCGTCTGCCATGTGTGGGTACACCTCAGCGGCCGCTTGAACACAGGCTGCTAGGAGGCAGACTAGACAAAATTGGATGTAGCTGAAAGACTATCCCTGCGTGGATCCTGCTTACTACCAAAGGCGAATGCAAGTGCCGCGTGTGCAGTTTGCCATCCTAAGCACCTTGCACTCTAATGATAACGACCCCACGAAGCAAAATGTATCAGAATGACTTTCTCCGCTTTGACCACCGAGAGGCTTGCAGTGGGCCTGCCGGGTTCAGAGGTACCATCTCATCGTTGATACGTACAAACGGGGTAGTTGCAGAGTGGCCAGGTTGACTGGATTTTTCCCAGAAAAATGCCAGATTCGCAGCCAAGCCTTGCTGTGCAGCCTCGCGAACGTCACAAATGCCATGCGTCGAACCGCCTGTGCTTCCCAGACTCCGGACAACCTCGAAACATCTCCTGCAATCTTCCGGGCTGGTGAAATTCACCACGGCCAGTTTCTGCCAAGGCAAATGCACAAAATCGTAAGGCAAAGAGGACCTGGAGAATCCACATAACTGCTGGATCTTGTTCAAGAAGTCATGCTCTGACAGCTTCTCCGTCAATTTGAAGAGAAGCGTAGTGGCGTCTTCCGAGAGGCAAGTCTCAGGACGAGTGAACTTACCGGAAGTCGGCATCGTGGCAAAACTGTTGCGACACGTCGCAGCAGCTCAAACATGCCAAAGGGACCTACCTAAAACTACATGTATGGCACTCTCGACTATCACTGAGCACAGTAGGTGCTTCGAACGGCGCGAGCAAGGTCACTTCTGATAACTTCCAAGACTCATGCGCCTGTCAACATTCCACGCCTCGCATGCATTTACGGCTGTAGCGACTGGTGTCGATCCAGCCGCACCTCGTGCCGTTTGTTCCCCCTGGCTTTACTGAACCCTGAGCTAGTCCTGGTTTGACCAGATTTCGTTTCGATGGATCCGTCTTCCTCTCATGTGAGCAACTGTATGCTACACCTGGTAGCTTGTGTGCCTGCTCTGGTCAGTCTTCCAAGTAGCCGAGAAATCAAGATAATCAAGCTCAACAAATCCGAAAAACGACCTGTGACCAAAGGCTGGTTCTGGGTGTGGCTTCGTCTGTCAGTAATTCTGCACACCTCCGACGGGAAACACTGGCATGTGCTGGTCTCCTCGAACCGAGCAGCCAGGCAACAGCCGTCCTCACTGCTGACGTTGCTGCTGGGCCGGAGCTCCAGCAAGCAGACTGCACCCTGATGAAAGGTGGCGCACGGACACCAGTTGCGACAGAGACTTTTGTTTGCATGCTTATCTTCTGTGAACCTTCACCTCGTAAGATCTGTGGAAGACAGAGACGAACTTCTGCAACTTATCAGGGCTTCACGCCTTGTTTCCTGAAGTGCCACAGTAGTTGCTGGCGCTGAAGAGGGTGTAGACAAGACCGAGATGGTGGGTGCTGAAGCCACGCTTTTCCTGCGTCGTGGATGCACACACGTCTCTACTCGCCGGCCTGGAACCGACCGATCTAGACTCAACATCAGCTACAAGTGATGGAGTGCAGAACTGCGAAGCCTTGCCAGAGAAGGCTTGGCCGTGGCATCTGCTTCTCTTCTCGCATCGGGTTATCGGGTTATCTTCTTGCGAGAATACGGGTTTGCGGTCAAGCCAGCTAGCACCTACTGTCTAGATTGCAGGTCCTTGCGCAAAACAAATACATACTGCATGACCCCATATGACCCCTCTCGCTTCTCTTCCTTCCTTCCGTTGGGGAAAGGTCTGTGCGCTTCTCTCTCTCTCTCTCTCTCTCTCTCTCTCCCTCACGTGCGTGGCCCAAATCACGACTACACAATGCGAGTCTACTTTACCCATCGTTCAGGAATCACTTGTAGAGATTAAGAGGCACCGACACTAGACTGACGGACCTACAAGGCATGGTGTGTGACTACTGTATGGTGTGGCTATTGGGTGGCATGAAAACTTCGATAACCACCGGTGTGACGTCAGAAAGAAGACGTTGCCACTGATTACCAACAGACCGCAGTTTCTGCAAACATATCAACCGGAGAACTCAGCAATCTGATGAATTCTGATCTTGGATGCCTTGGTGCGGTGCAGGACAGTAGTTCAAGTAACACATGACTTCGAGTTTGCCTCAGCGTGAAGGCTTTGCAGCGCCTAGTTACCCAGTTGCTGTCCTCGGGAAGCTGATGTGACCGAATGATCCATTTCAAGCCTGTCGACAATCATTGTCTCGCGTGTGGAACTCAGGAGATACGGCGCTGCCTGTTCGCTTCAGAAACGCCGCAGTGAGATCAGGACCCCACCTTGGCTGGCAGAGCTCAGCCGATAGATCTCAAAGTCAAGAGGGCCCCCGGCTTGATGCCGGCACCTCGTGGGTTGGCCTCCCATCCCAGTTTCTCCTGCGGATCGGACCATAGGAGATCCTGAAAGACCTGCGAACAGCTTGCAAAAGAAGAAGATGCTGTGCAAGCACGATGTCAGGCTTGACAGCAAATGAAGGGTGATTCTGAAAAGTCTACCCAACCGTACTGCTTGCTCGGCTTTCTCCCGGCAAACGGCTGGAACCATAAGATCCAACGGCACTGATACACTGCATCGTAGGGACCTGTTCCTCCAGGCACAGTGGATAACAGCCTGAGGCACGGTGGACATCAGGTCCATGTCTGTTCTCGCGCCATCACGTCAACAAATTATGTACGTTGGCCTCCATGTGGGCAACTGACGACTCCAGCATCGATGTCGCGAACAAAAGGAAGAGTCAGGTTGGACTTCGCATTGCGCGCCTGGCACCAAGCCACTGTGGAACTAGAAGCGAACCAGCACTGAGCACCCTGCAGCTGCAAGAGTCTGAGTTCAAAACCAACCCCCCATGCACGACGAAGAGTTCCTGTGCCGTCAATAGCATCGTGGAACTGGGTCGTTAGGACTCTAGTCGAAGATGACTTTGCTGCCACCTGACCGAATTTTCGGCAGTAGCAATGGTCGCTCCTGTTGCACGACTGCAGCAAGAGGCAGCATCTTGTAAATAGCTTCGAACTTCATGAAGACACCTTGGGCTCTCAGTGGGCTCAAGGCTGTCTGATGTGCGGGCTGGACTGCAGCCATCGTTCGACAGCAGATTGCACTGGGTTTCGTCCCAAAGCTTATGGACCGCAAGCGGCATGCTGTTCGCACAAGGCCTTGAAATCAAAGGTTGATATTGCGGCCAAAACACCGCCGGTATATTTCTGCAAGACCTCATCATGGAAACCACCACCTTCTTCACTGGGAAGCTTGTTCATCTCTTCGTCCTCACTCTGCGCAAGCAAGGAAAGCTGGTGACAACAGTGCCAGCAAACCTGCAAAGCTTGGAGCACGCCCTCGGGAGTAAGGGCTGTGATAGACAGGCAACATCTGCAGCTGCAGAACGCTCCACACTCCGGCCCCAGCAACAATCACGAGCATGTGCCACATTCCGACCGTTTGAGGCCGCTTTGACGGTCTTGCCGAAAACCCCATTCCTCTATGGAAGCTCTACTACTGTGGTGTGTCATAACGGGTCCGAGCAGAACAGCCGTCCTCATGATTGCCCCGGATGATAACCAAGCTGTCCGGATCTTCGATGAAGAAAGCAAAGAGAAGAAGAAATATCTCGCACGCATTTGGGCCTGGCACTGGCGAGAACATCTGTCGCTCAAACCAGCTACCGTGCTGACTGACACCATGCCTATTCTTGAACACTGCGCTGGCACAAGACCACACGACGACGACAACAACGACAAACTACTGCTGCTGCTACTACTACTACTACTACGACGACGACAACGGCTGCCACTGCCACTGCCGCGGCTGCTGCTGCTGCTACTACTACTACTACTACTGCTCCTCCTCCTCCTGCTGCTGCTGCTGCTGCAACTGCCGCTGCTACTACTACTACTACTCCTCCTGCTCCTGCTGCTGCTGCTGCTGCTGCTACTGCCACTGCAGCTGCAGCTGCTGCTGCTGCTGCTGCTGCTGCTACTACTACTACTACTACTACTACTACTACTACCGCTACTACTACTACTGCTGCTGCTGCTGCTGCTACTACTACTACTACTACTACTACTACTACTACTACTACTACTACTATTGATGCGAATACTATTGCAAATGCTAATAGGTATGCTAATGCAAAC